ACATCAGTCAGATCCATCAGAGAATATCAATTTTGAAGAAAACTGTGGCAATGGTGTAGACCAGCAGAAGGACAGACGTTTTGCTGTCAATCGATTTTTCGATATCAAGGATCCATCATTATTCACGTGTAAATCAAGGTTATTACACTATTACATATTTGTAATAACCTTGATTTATAATAATAATAATAATAATAATAATAATAATAATAATAATAATAATAATAATAATAAATGTATCCGCGTTTTCTTGACAAACTGAATAGTTAGTATTCATAATTTAATGAAACGTCGCTAGTTTTCGAAGTGCTTTAAAGCAAAATTGGCGAATATTTGCAATAAACGTGAAATTCTCGTAAATTCCAGTTTTTTTACTTTCTCTCGCTAAAGAAGAGAAAGTTCGGTAATCCTGCGCAAACATTCGGTATATTTTCGGCAATGCCATTTTTAATTTTTGTTTACACATTTCTCAAAAACGGGTCCATTGTGTTTATGAAACTTTGTTGGTGGATAGTCTGAAGGACGTTTAAGAGAATGGTGTAGATTTCATGTTGATTGAAAATTTATAATATTCAAATTTTTTCGGCATCTCCCTACAACTATAGTTATGAAGTCACTTTTTTTCTTAATGAAATGTGATCAACAAAAGCAGATCTTTAAATATGGTCAGGCTATTTTTTTGAAAATGTGAGTACTTCCTTAAAAATTGGCCGTCTAATTTAATTGCCCGCTATGAAAATCCTGTGATTCGACTTTAGTGTCTTAAGGCGGTGTTATGCTAAATTAGTTAGAATGTGTATATTATTTCATTTTTCTTTGTTCGTTTCTTCACATTTTTGCTATAAGTTTCGCTATTTGCTTCAAGCGTTTGCTAATATTAGGACCGGTTTAACCGGTGCCTGATAAAGTTCCGAATTCTAATCCGACAGATAAAAGTACCTTATATTTATTTTGCGTTTCACCAAAGCCTTTCTTGTTAGAATATCTGACGGATATTTTTCTGATAAATAATCTGGCTGATTGCTCTTGCTCTTACACCAGCGGCAACGCCGAATTTTCGAGTCAAACGCGCTCTGTACGCGCGAATTCGAATGTGCTTTGTTAATGGCAGTGTCAGGAGTTTTTCTCATCATTCGTTGTTATTTTGTGCTGCAGTTTACTTCGGCGAGAGCTGTGTGTGAGTTCGGTGTAAAAGAGTCTTTTATTGCGACGTACGTTGTGTGTGTAGGAGTTTCAAAATGGAAAGGGGAAAGAATAGAATAAGAGGAGTTAATTTTACACGTGAGGAAACAAACCTGTATCCCTCGTTGGGGCGAGGAAAAATATTATCAAATGTAAAGTAAATGGTGCTACCATGTAGCAGGATAGGAATGGCATCCTTGCAGAATTGGCGAAGCTTGCCGCGGTTAGCGGCAGCAGCAGGCGCCGAACTTTCGTGTTAAAGCAGCACTCCAACGCATTGAGTAAAGATATACTAGAGGGCGCAGAAGGCCCAGCCGGGTCTCAACATCTCTCGCGCCCGACTCATGTGACTTTGAGACAGCTGGGAGGCATCTGCTAAACAACAGTCTCGTACTAAATGATTTCTTTTAATACGTATCTAACATGCTTCACTCTAGCGATATTTTCTCATTTATTGCACAGCCCTAAGAATGTTGCTTATAGTAGAAAAGGTACTTTAAGTTATTCTGCAATATTTAATTAAGTACATGAAAATTCCGATTTTGGTCCAACTTGTCACTCTCAACCGTGTACCCCACTACACATGCTTTACAAGTACTATTACATAGGACAATAAATAAAAAATATTTGTAAAATAAATTAACTCCATGGGAGTCATTAATCCAAGTTTCTGTTACTACTTAATGATAGAAATTCTGCTATTGATAATCCACATCAGACAGATAACAGCAAGTTATCAAAATATTTCAAGGATTTGTAGTGGGGGAAAAACAAACTGTTATTTCGATATATATTTTGATTTATTTAGTCAAAAACAGTAAATTCTGTATGTGACATACGGATGAGAAGTACCGTCTGCACACATTTTCTTGAGCTCAAAAATCTCTTCCCAACATTCAACTATAGACATTAGAAATTTTCCCTCCCAAGTTATACAAAACTTATTTGTATCGATAAACGAACTGCAGGTTTTATTTTATATTTTTGGTATTACTAACAAAACAATAACATAATATTGGTTTTACTCCTACCACTACAAGAAAAGGAGTGCACAACAAAACGTGCGCATAGTGAAGCTACATTTACGTCCAGAAGCAAAACATGGGTCCATCTCAGCATTTGCTCAATGGATCAGGGAAACTGGCCAAATACCTGATCGAAATGGGGGTCTTTGACCCGGAAGCAGAAATATATAATTTTCAAAGAATTTACTAATAAAAATCAATTACTTACAATCATACTAACTATAAACACTAACATACTACTAACACAACAAACATAACTTACACCAGTTACCAATACATAATATATACTACTAACACCATTAAATACACACATAGTAATGCCCTCTAAATAAAATCATTTTATTATTAACTGATCTAATTCTATTTTTCTCGTAAATTTGAGTCTTTCTCTTCCTATATGTTTTAACCTAATTTCAATATATTTAAATAATATTGCCTGAATCAAATTCATCCTCTGATTCAGCATGGCCTCTTGACCAATAATATGACAATTTAAATTACAAAAAAACCGAATTATTTATAAATTCTCTCAAACATCTATTTACAGTTGTAATGTAAGCTGCCCTTTTAAAAATGTCACCTCTCCCTTGAAGTATTCTTACTTCTACTTCTGCTCTTTTGCAAATTTTCACATCTGCGGAAGGGTATTTCAGCCCATGATCATCCTTCCTCTGAATAAAGGAATATGGTCCTTCATCACTATCAGTCCGGCAAATCTTAGAGTCAACACAAGAAAGTGACATTTCCAACTTTTTTACTACAAATTCTCCAATTACGTTACAATGTCCAGAACGTAGGGAGACAATCTAGTTTCAAGATTGTCTTCTGATGGCAATTACATATGATCAATTGGCACTTCAATGCACAGTTCAGGACGCAGTTCAACGCACGTTGCCGCCAAAACAACAACAATACTGAACCATGGTTCTTAACAAAGCTGAAACACGTGTGGATCGTTTGCAGTAAGCAAATCTCCACAACACCCCAAATAATTACGCTGTAACACAAAGAAAGAACAAACAGCACGCAAAGGTACACACAATACAACGCAAAAAAAAAAAAAAAAAAAAAAAAATCACGTGACTTGCGGCCACCGCATGTTGAAACCTGCGCAGTAGGTTCACGCGCACTCTAGTTGTATCTCTCCTCTACGCTCTAACGTCCCGAGACATTGACGCAGTAACCCGGTCAACTCTTCCACCTTCCGATACCGTCTCCTCCACGCCTCGTTCCAAAAAAAACTCACTGGGTGTATTTTTAAGACAGGTCTGAACCGCGGTTTCTTCGAGCCACGGTTCGAAATCCCAGTTTCGCTTGATAAGACGAGGCTTTGTCGAATTTTCGAGGCCGCGGCTTGAAAATTCCAGACCTCGGCGAAGAGTGGATTAAAGTCATGGCTCATTCACTCAAATAGTAGAAAATGGAGTTCTTTAGACGTATGGAAGAATTTCGAGTCAGTGTTCATCGGATCAGGCCACCGAATCCGATAAGTGTGTTGCGGGATTCCATCTTTTCGAAAGAAACGATATTTGGCTGAAATTTTGCTACCTAACCTCAATTACATGGGCGGCAGAGAACATATTTACACGTGACTTAAAGATCACTTCAATCAAACCCATTTTTCACAATTATTTATCAATAAAAACAAAAGAAACAAATTAATGTTTGTATTATAATTTGCTATGTTATAATGTTTTTGGAGTGTATGTTCGAGCACAGCTGTTTTTTCTTTATTCTCAGTTTCTATTTTTTGCATGTTCAATCATTTTTGGCGTGATTTGCCACCTCCAATCATTCTTCTTCGAAATTTTATTTTCTGAAAAAAAAGGGGGGATATTAAAATTTGGTAATTCAATTCTATCAAGGACTTTCTTTGATTTCAAAAAAACTGCTAATCAATTCCTATAAAACTAATTCATATGTATGAACTATTTTGGCACTGCAAGCAAATAACTCTTCAGAATACTACTAATTCAAATATGGTTGTACTAACTAGTCTCCCTAACTTTTTGGGGTTACAGTAATAGAAATTGACAGAAGAATTTCATTGTCAGCATTCGTTGTCAATAAATCCTCTTGTCTCCTGACTACATTATATTTCCAAAATGATTATCTTTAATTGTCCGCTTTTTTCCATCTTTCAAAGCTTTCAGAAGTATACACAATAACTATTAATACAAGAAACAATTTTGTATATGAAAAACATGAAAATTGCAAGTATTTATTAGCAATAACCAAATGCATCATGCAGATATTAACTTAACATAAATTATTATGTTTATTATATTTAAATTAGCAACTCTCTTACTGCCCTACTGTTTGAACAACATAATTTTAACATGTATTACTATTCTTTGTAATACAATAATATCTCTAAGATCTGTCTAATCTAAGAGCAAACCCCCTCACAATAGGAACTTTATCCATTATCTTGTTGTATTAACTAAGAAGGAAAATTCATAGCCCTCTAAAAAAGAAATTAGTTTGCAGTAGATATTATCAAAAATTGCACTAATTTTAACAATTATTCAAACCTTGATCACCAGATCAATCAAATCCCATTACTCTATACCAATTACATCACATACAAAAGATAAATATGTCACCGTTACGAAATAACAGAACAGCAAGTAGGGACATTCTTTAAATGAATATACAATAATTGTATTTAAAATGTTTACTCCTACTCGTAGAGTCACGTTTTAAGCTAATATCGATATATGTTGGTAGGTATTTATTTTTTAAGAAAACCAGGGCAACTACGAAACACGCTATTTGGCTACAAAAACGTACCTTGTAGTTGTCCAATCCCGCTGAGGTTTGTTTGGATGCGGTAAATTCCTCCCATAATTTCGTCCAAGTTTGCTTCCTCTCACTAATTATTTGATAACAGTACCGCTTCATCCCTAAAACTGGGTTTTTCTGTCGAACTTATGCCAGGATGCCTCTTTCTTGTTCACACCGAGCCTCTGTATTAATACCAAACGAAACTTTGGCATGGCTTTATCATTATTATAAAAGAATAATTCGTCATTCATTACATTATCGTGCAAAATAAGAATGGAAATACAATTCGTGCCTACGCTATCAAACGTATATCCACTTCGTTGAATCGTTTTATCAACCTGATTCGCGCCAGTGCTCAAGCCGTGATTTCAAAGTCACAGTTTCAAAACCGCGGCCTAGACCTCGTCTTAGAAATTCACCCACTGTGTCGGGCTTCGCTCGCGCTTACAAAACCTGCACCCAGCCTGCACCGCCTCTCCCTCACGCGTTCCACAACTGTCTCCGAGTCTGGTCGCCTCCCTGCCCCCTCCGCGCGCGTCGCCGTTTCCACAGGGTAGGGGCGGCACCCCCTCCGCCGCCGAAGGGCGGCGCGTCGGGGCGGCAGCGCGTGGCAAGCGAACGCGACGCATTGTTTAGTTACAAATGCTACGTACAGTTTTGGAAACAAAAATTGAACGCCCCGTCTGCGGCTAAGTTCATCTATTGTAGGGCTAGAGCAGCCCTTATCATGACGAAACGTCGCAGGCGGGGCCTCACGAACCACCGCAGCCGATCTTAACGGTGGGGATTGAGGCCTAACAAAATTATGAAGAAGAAAATGGCGGACGTCCCTAATTCAGATGTGGAAATATTTTCGAATAAAAATACATGAAATTAAAGAATTTTATGAATACGAAAGTAGATTCATTGAAATAAATGTATAAACGCATTCACTTCACCATTTTTAACACATTTCTTTTTGTCGAAAACACGTTGATATCAGACAAATTAACACTAATTTTAAACCAATTACTTTCTAATATTTTTTTCAATATTATTTTTCATACACAATCCATGAACTTTATCAAATGTCCAGTTTATTATAGATTTTATCACTAAGAAAGAGTATCATAATTGCAGATTTGCAATTGTTTGTTTATAAAATTTGCAAAAATTGCATAATACTATATTTCTCGAATCGATAGAGGACTCCTAGGGAACCACTTCAATCATATTCAAAGACCAAGTGTATATTTATCATTACAGTAACAATTAAACTAGATATTAAGCAATGAATATGCATCTCTTATCAAAATTGTTATTTTACAATGTTCAACTCAGGGACAAATTTGGGACAGTCACCAGGAGAAATTCTTTATAAAATTGTTAATTGTTGAAAAATTGTCTGTTCGCAATTTTCGGTTCTATGACATTAGAGAACCCTTCCCACTTTAGAATCGTAAAAATAATAAATTGTTTATAAATTTTAAAATGTAATTCTTTTTAGTTGTCTCATCACAATTTGATCGGCGCTATCTCCTTTCGTTTTCGAAATATGCAATTGTTTATAAGAAATTAGCATTTTATGCCTCATTCGTTTTACTGACAATCCATTCGTCTTTGTAGTCAAGTATAGTGTTCAGATTATGTTTTTGCACATAACACTTCCCATGGTGGGCTAAAGCACTATTCGCCAGTAGGAGTAAAGATAACGGATTGGCTTCCGTGTCCTTCAATTGGTAAATCTTATCAGTAACACGTTGCTTCTACGGAGCGCTCTTCCGCAATTCCGCCAGTTATCGGGATCACCTCGTGAATGACATTGCCGATGCACGCCCTTTACCGCCTCTTTTCACGCAGTTGACCTTGTCCGTAGTTTGCTGTCGTGCTCCTCTATGATCTACAGAATAGCGAGTAGCGTCTGTTATCGGAATTAATAATTTAGGATTGGGTTCGCTTCTATCTAGTAGATGTTATTATCTATAGAGTTTTTGTTCATAAAATCGGGTTTATTCTAGTACATTTATTATATTATCGGTTATTTATACATGTTTTATTAGTAGAATACAATTCTTAGGAGATTACGATCATCAGAATAAAGTTTGTAAACATTACATTATCGAATTAAAAGTATTGGACAAATCTTCGCGCAAGATTTAGAATGATTTACTTATTTAAAATAATTCAATAAAGGATTCATTGAATTACCATTCAATTCAGGGAATTTATCAAGAATATTGAACTGATTTTTTGATTTACCACCAGTTTTTGATATCAAAAAATACTAAACAAACATTATTCTGATATTACGGTCAGCAAACAAATGTAATATTAAATAGAATATAATACAAAGCTAGTTTTTATCAATCGAAATTTTGAAAGATATTATAGTTTGGAGCTGACTTGATTGCGAGGCTGAGGAATGCTCTCGGTGTTCTTGGAAGTTGCCCTCCCCCGCCTAATCTGCAACTACTAGCTGTCCCAAATATATTACTCCAAGAGTCAAAGTTAAAACATCATACGACAATAACTATCAAAATAAGCCAATATGTAGAGCTAACAAAATGAAAAACAATATGCCGAAAGATGACATTATTAAAGTATTCAAAAACAAGTATCTATCTTGCTTTCTTACTTCAGTCAAGTGGACGTGCAAGATTTGCATCTCACGTCGAACTGTCGTCAGAGCTGCTGTCATCAGTGTCGCAGGAATCACAACCTCCAAGATCGATGATAAATCTGTCGACGGCGTCTTCTACTATCCCATCCTTCTCCCAACACCCTTGTTCTATCTTAAAGAGTGCGGTTGGTGAATTCCTCCCAATTAACTGTAGATACGGATCTCAACGCATTTGCAGTCACTTCTTGCAACTTTTTTTTTTAAATTTATTTTTCTGCCTGTTCGACATAATATGCCTTTCAGGGGTTTTAATTTACAATTTATTGTTACACATAATTTTTGGCCTTTCGGCTG